ATGTCCAATGGAAAAAAGGCAGCCTCTTTAGCAAATGGTATTGGGAAGACTGGAGAGCAACATGCAGAAGAATGAACCAGGACCACTTTTTACACCATACACAAAAATAAACCCAAAATGGATGAAAGACCTACATGTAAGACAGGAAACCATCAAAATACTAGAGGAGAAAATAGGCAACAACCTCTTTGACCTTTGCCGCAGCAACTTCTTACTAGACATGTTTCCAGAAGCAAGGGAAACAAAAGCAAAAATGAACTATTGGGACCTCATCAAGATAAAAAGCTTCTGCACAGCAAGGAAACAATCAACCAAACTAAAAGGTAAATATTTGCAAATGACATATCTGATAAAAGGCATCAAACTCAACACCCAAAAAACAACCAGTTAAGAAATGGGCAGAACACATGAACAGACTTTTCCAAAGAAGACATCCAGATGGCTAACAGACACATGAAAAGATGCTCAACATCACCCATCATCAGGGAAATACATTTCAAAATCACAATGAGATACCACCTCCCAGCTGTCAGAATGGCTAAAATTAACAACTCGGGAAACAACAGATGTTGGTAAGGATGTGGAGAAAGGGGAACCCTCTTGCACTGTTGGTGGGAATGCAAACTGGTGCAGCCACTCTGGAGAACAGTATGGAGGTTCCTCAAAAAATTAAAAATAGAGCTACCCTACAACCCAGTAATTGCACTACTAGGTATTTATCCAAAGGATACAAAAATGCTGATTTGAAGGGGCACATGCACCCCAATGTTGATAGCACAATATATTAATAATAGCCAAATTATGGAGAGAGCCCAAATGTCCATCGACTGACGAATGGATGAAGATGTGGCATATATACACAATGGAATATTACTTGGGGATCAAAAAGAATGAAATCTTGCCATTCACAACGTGAATGGAACTAGAATGTATTATGTTAAGCGAAGTAAGTCAGAGAATGACAAATATCATATGATTTGACTTATATGTGGAATTTAAGAGACAAAACAGATGAACATAGGGGAAGGGAAGGAAAAATAAAAGCAGAGAGGGAGGCAAACCATGAGACTCTTAAATACAGAGAACAAACTGAGGGCTGCCGGTTGGGCAGATGGACTAAATGGATGATGGGCATTAAGGAGGGCACTTATTAGGATGAGCACTGAGTGTTATATTTAAGTGATGAATCACTAAATTCTATTCCTGAAATCATTATTACACTATGTTAACTAACTTGGATTTAAATAAAATAAAAAAAAAATGAGATTTATTCTCCTTCATTTATTCTCCTTAAAGAGAAGGAATAGAGCGACACTTTGGCCCTTCTATAGAGATTTCAGTTTTTTGTTTAAAAAAAAAATTCTTTTTTTACATTTATTTATTTTTGAGAGACAGAGTGAGACGGTGCATGAGTTGGGCAGGGGTAGAGAGAGGAGACAGAATCCGAAGCAGGCTCCAGGCTCTGAGCAAGCTGTCAGCACAGAACCCCACGTGGGGCTCAAACACACGAACCGTGAGATCATGACCTGAGCCCAAGTTGGACACTCAACCGACTGAGCCACTCAGGGACCCCTAGAGATTTCCGTTTTAATCTCTATCCCTAAAGAGAAGTAGGGATGCCTGGCTGGCTTAGTGGTAGAGCATGTGACTCATGA